CCGGGACTGCGGGGAGGGGCCCCGCGTGCGCACGCCGCCGCGCCGCCGTGGGTCGGGTGTGCAGAGCCGGGGTGTCCCGACGAGCCAGCCGCGAGGGGACTGGCGGAGTGACAGCGCTCGATCCGCCCCCCGACAGAGTCTGCTTTTTAAGGCTGGGAGGCCGCGGAGCCCAGCAGCACCCCACGCCCACCTCGGCCCAGGGGCCGGCGAGGTCCTTGCCTCGGGGTCTTACCCCTGCCTAGCAACCGTGTCCACCCGGACACGCGGTGAACTCTAACCACTTTTTTAGGGGAAGGGGCTTGTTTGCTCTCCACTGACTTTAACCGTGACTTAATGGAGATTAAGGAGGCCTGGCAAGTTTGGGTGTGCGAGTTCGGCCCTGAGTGCAAATAGAGCTTGCGGGAAATCGCCACTCCCGCGCTGGAAGTCTGGGGAAAGACTGTTGCGGTGAGCTGAGAAGCAACAGGCCCTTCCTTTTCCTCCCCAGGTGACTGCGGCCTGCCCCCAGTGATACCTCATGCCCAGCCAGCGTTGGGAGGACACACCAGCTTTCCTGAGAACACCACGGTGTCCTACACGTGTGACAGTGACTTTGTCAAAATCCCAGGCATGGCAGACGCGGTGATCTGCCTTTCCAGCAATCAGTGGACAGACATTGAAGAATTCTGTAATCGTAAGTGCTGCCTTTCGTTTTAGAAAAGTTGTGGGACTGGGATGTGTCTTGTGAAAGTTATTTTTACAGCCCTTTGGAGTGACTGGTAATTGATAGTTTTCTAGCTTATTAAGCCCCAGGGTATATACCATGCTGGCGATACACCCGCCAGCTAATTGAAGGCGTACTTCTCAGAGCAGGTCCTGCTTCTTCATTAGGAGCTTTTCTTCCTACAGCTGAACAGACTAACAGAAAACAAAGAGTAGGTACTGTTTAGGGAGTAGGTGATGCACAAATATATTTGCCATTTACCTTGAGACACATACCTAGGTGATTTGTTTGCTTATGTTTTATTTGGTAAAATAGGACTTAGCAAATACAATGCTTTGGTGGCATTTTTAAAAGCACTCTGTATTTATTTTAGAATTTATTCTATAGATGGCCCCATATTTGAGATACGGTCATGCATTGCTTCGTGATGAAAGTATGCTCTGGGAAGTGCATTTTTAGGCAGTTTTGTAGTTATGTGAACGCGGAGTAGACTTACACCTCGCTGGTACAGCCTCCTGCACACCTGAGCTGTGGGGTGGAGCTGCTGCTCTTGGGCTACGGACCTGTACGGCAGCGACTGCGTTGAATATGTGAGCAGTTGTAACACAGTAGTATTTATGTATCTAAGCACGAAAATGTACAGTAAGAAATACGGTATAAAAGACAATAAATAATACACACACATACAGGGCTCTTACCGTGAATGGACAGCAACCCACTGGGGACCCCTTCTGACTCTCAGGAGCTATTCCTGTTCCCCAGCCCTTTTCTCCAATAAATTTTCCTACTTTTAAAGTATAAATAAATAAAAAGACATGAATGGAAGTTGCAGGACAGAAGTTGCTCTGGGTGTGGGTGAGTGATAGGAAGTGGGTGTGAAGGCCCAGGACATGACTGGGCATTGTCATAGACTTTTTAAGCACTGCACAGAGACTACACTAAATGTTTTTCTTTCTTCAGTCATACATTAGCTCACAATAACTTTATAAGCTTCAAGTTTTTTCACTATTTTCATTTATTCTCTGGAGGGTTGTTTTTGAAAGCAGACCTGGTGAGGTTTCCCAGGCTGGCATTGAACTCCTGAAGTTAGGCAGTCCTCCCTCCCTCAGCTCCTAGGTAGCTGGGGCTACAGGCCACCTGGCCCAATTTAATCTGGCTTTTTTTTAAAACTCTTGTAATAACACTTAGCATTAAACACATTGAATAACTGTACAAAAATATTTTTTCTTTACATCCTAACATTGTGTACTTTTTTCTATTTAAATTTTTTTTTAACTTTTTAAACTTTTTCTTAAAAACTGAGACACAAATAATCACAGTAGCCCACGCTCTAGGCCCATCTAGAGTCAGGCTCTTCAGTCTCACCTTTTCTCACTGCTACATCTTGTCCTACTAGCCAGGCCCAAACAAGGAGCTCCCATCTTCGAGGCAAACAATGCCTCCTTCTAGAACACCTTCTGAAGGGCTGCCTAGGGTTGTTGCTCTGCTGATCCCTTGTTTAATAAGTAAGAGGAGTACACACTACAATGTGGAATAGAAAAGCAATAAATCAGTAACATGGTTGCATCTTATCAGTATAAAGTATTACGAACTATACCCAGTTGTATATGCTGTACTTTCATACACTGACCACACAATTTGAATGTTTCCACCAGCAGCCTCCAAATGCAGTGTGTTGCACTATGATATCACGGTGCTTATGGCATCACCAGGCAATAGTATTTCCTCAGCTCTGTCACAGCCTGCTGGGGCCATCAGTGTGTATGCGTCCGTCACTGGTGGAAACATCGTTATGTGCCGCACAACGGTGTAAGGAAGGAGAAAAGTAAGACTTGCGGGCTGCCTTTGAACACATGGAAACAGTCAAAGCTGCTGTAAATACAGAATGCAGGGATGCCACCAAACCACGTGTGAAGTGGCCTTTAACTTTCACTTTTGTTTTTGCTGTTGTTAATATTTTTAGGTAGCTGTGAAGTTCCACCCAAGTTGTCTTATGCAGCCCTCAAAAAGACTTACATCAGTAAGAATTACTTTCCAGTTGGTACCGTTGTGGAGTACGAGTGCCGGCCAGGGTATAAGAGAAAAATGAATCTTCTAAGTGGAAGACTGGGAGCACTAACTTGTCTTGATAATTTAACATGGTCCATCCCTGAGACATTTTGTGAAAGTGAGTACAATTTTAAAAGTATTTGGTGTTTGAGGGAAAAATTGCCTATTCCTTTGTTCGTGATGGAACTCTACATGTGCCTATTATTATTTATTTATGATTTTTTTCTGTGTTGCTGGGGGTTCAAACTCAAGGCTTGTGTATGCTAGGCAAGTGCTGTATTACTGAACTACATCACCAGCCCCTAGATGATCCTTGAAAGAATAATGAAAGTAATTTTATTTTAAATTAGATGCACTAAATGTTTATGCGATAAGAATATGTATTCACAAATTTCACTTTTACTTAGTTTGAGGTTACCTAAAATGGCTACCTATGCTAAGTATGTACTTCTTTGAAACATCACAAAATGAAGACTGAGTTAAAGAAGTCTAAAGATGAGAAATATCAGTGGTTCAGGGAGTGAATTTGCATTGATGTGCAGGATAATTTTTGACAAAAAAATGTTTCCCAGGCTTATTGTCGTGTAATTAAGTAAAATTATATTGGGCTGGAAATAGTAGCTGAGTGGCATACGGCTTATCTGATGCACACAAAGGCTTGAGTTTAATCCCCATCACTACACACACATGCACAGGCATACACACAGAAGATGAAATGTACATGCATACAAGGTGTACATGATGTTTTTTTTTAATTTTAAAGAGAAAAAGTACAGAATTTGAAAACAAGATAATAGATTAACAATGGTTAATATATTGGGGATTGTTATCTTCAAAGTAGTTGCTCACATTAGAAGATACAAGCATGCATAATTGATCAAACAATATAAGGACAAATGTTTTTTCAGTGAGCTAAAAGAATTCAGTAGTATAACTGTCTTATCTATCTCTTGTATATATATGTTTTCTTTTCCGTTTCTTCCTTTTCTTCTTTCACCCATCTTAGCTGTTCTTTTTGAGCAGTTTCTTTCCCTTTCAAATATCGATTGTAGATTTTGGGTCTTCCTTACTTTTTCAAATTAGAGAAACAATATAATGTTTACACTTGCAAGACTGATTTATTTCACTTATGAGTATTGTCTCTAGTTGTACCCATTTACCTATAAAAGCCTCCAGTTTATCCTTTTTATAGCTGAGTAGTACTCTATTATATTAAAATACCACATCTTTTTTATCCATTCCTCAGTTGATGGGCATTTGGGTTCTTTGCAAGATTTAGCTCTTACAAATGGTGCTGCTCTAAACATGGGTACACATATATCGCTGTAGTATGATGTTTTTAATTCTTCTGGGAAAATACCCAGAAGGGGAATAGCTGGGTCAAATGGGACCTCTAATTCTAGTTTTTTGAGGAATCTCCACAGTGGTTGTAGCAGTCTACACTCCCAGAAACAGTGGACAGGGATTCCTTTTTCCCCATTACCCCTCCAGCATTTATTATTGGTTGATTGCTTAATGATAGTCATTCTTACTGGGGTGAGATGGAATCTCAGTGGTGGTTTAATGTACATCTCTCAGATGACTAATGATGTTGAACCTTTTTTCATATATTTATTTACCATTTGTATTTCAACATCTGAGAAGTGTGTCTTCATCTCAGCTGCCCATTTTTAGATTGAGTCTTTGCATCTGCAGACCTGATTTTTTTCAACTCTTGGTATGTTCTAGGTAGAAGCCCTTTGTCTGAGGGACAGTGGGCTAAAATTTTTTCCCAATCTGTGGGTTTTCTTTTCTCTCCGTTGGTGATTTCTTTTGATGTGAAGTACTTCCTGTGCAGTTTGGTTTTTGTTCATGAACTCTCTGCCTACCCCTAAGTCTTCAAGATTTCTACCTACTTTTACATGATGCTTTAATGTGCACTTACATTGTGAAATGATTACCACAATCAATCTAGTTAACGTGTCCACCACTTCATATAGTTTACCTTTCCTTGTGCATGCCTGATTTAATGAAAAACACTTTTCATTCTCTTTTAGAAAAACAGTGTGGTAATCCTGGAGATATACTACATGGTTATATCAATATAACAACTGACCTATTATTTGGTTCTCAGATATTCTTCTTCTGTGACACAGGGTAAGTTTTATTATACTAACACTATGTTTAACAAATGAAAAAGCAAATTAAGATTTGAGATAGAAACTGTTCAAGAGCAGGCTTTTAGCAACTAAAACAACCCCTCTCCTCAAAGATCCTTCATTATATTCTCTTTGTAGTAAAGCTAAAGTTAGTAAAACAGGTCAAGAAAGGAAGCTTTTATACCGCCAACTTCTCTAAAATCTTAGATTTCGATATGGGATGTTATTCAACATAAAACTTTAAATGTGATTAGTAAAGCAAAACATTTGATTTGTGGGCGATACTGCAGAAATAACAGTTCTTCAAGTGTTAAATATGAAGCCAGTCTTTAATTGACATAAATAATGAATTTGCATCTGAGTTTTTCACATATAAATAAATTGTTATTGGATATTATGTCCTAGATACATTTCTTCTTAGTGTGAAAAATGCCATCCTAACGTAAGGTTTTGTATAGTTCTGTAGTAGGAAAAGAAATTCACCCCTTCCATACCATCAATGTCTCAAATACATTTGGATTTTTTTTGGGGGGGCGGTACTGGGAATTGAACCAAGCACCTTTGAACTGAGCCGTCCTCCCACCCTTTAAGATTTCCCAATGCTTTCTGAGACTGTTTTCATTAAGTTGTGGAGGATAGGCTCAAACTTGAGATCATCCTGCTTTAGCCTCTCAGAGTGCTGGGATTACAGGCCTGTGCCACTATGCCTGGTTTACAATTAGAAACTTAGCATTCATTTTCTTATTTAATATTTGCAAATGAAGGTGTATTTTCTCTGTGTCTCTTTCTTGCTCTTTCCACAGATGGTGGTTGGGTCATTACTATCAAATCTAGGAAGCATTTTGGAAACTTTAAATATATATTATTATTTTGTATTTGTCTTTTAGAACTAATATAAAATACTGAATAATCTTTATCATTTAAAGTGTTTTCTACACTTTCATCTTTTCTAACATACACCTATGCACATAAAAAGCTGTTCTGTATGTCTTATATTATTTTACTAATTGGATTTCACCTTTATAAACTTAACTTTTTTTCCATTCCTTTAAATCTTACATGGCCTTTTGACAGCTATTTTTGTCACCTTTTACTTTTATGGTAAATATTTTAAGATGACAATCTGCAGAATTTGACATGGGTCAAATATGTATGAATGTAACAGAAACATTTTCTCCCCTTATTGCTCCAGGTACAGATTAAACGGTCCAACTTCTGCTTTCTGTATGCTTGTAGGAAATGGTGTGGGTTGGAGTGACAGATTACCCGTGTGCACAAGTAAGTCTTAATAATCTAAACACACAGATTATGGGGCTGAATGATCAATGATAAATGACCTTCTTCTCATTCAGGGTTATCCAGTATGTGTGTGTAGTACCTGCACCTTTCAATGTGTGCCTTTGACAATTTAAAGACCTTTTGTAAATGGTGTTTCTTAATGTACTAGCTGGGGTATTAAACCATTGAGCTTCTCAGAGCATCAATACCCTTAGCTATAGGAGGAGAATTAAAAATAAGCTTGAGTTTGCATGGTTCTCAGTCTTTTAATATCTAGCCATTCCTTCAAATAGGTAGGGAAGTTAGGGCATTTTCCCTTCACAGTTTTATGGAAGAAAACATTGAGAATCAGGGTCTCTATATGACTTAACTCCATATCCTAAAACAAAGGGCATAAGAAGGCATTTAACCCAGGTCTCTTAATTCAAACCCATCATTCTTCTAAGACCCAGTGTTGCTTACATGTCTCTTTTTATGATTATAATTATTTAGAAGTATTCTAAGCTGTGATACGTTTTATCTTTAGAGAAGTACGTAAGGTTATAAGATAAAGAACAAATATGGTTTCTGAGCTTCAGACTCTTATCAAAGGGAAGATAGGGCACAGAAATAATACCATAAGTGGGTGTGCGTCCAATATATGTCCACTGGAGGCATACCTCCCTCTAATTGAGAGACAAAAAGAACGTGCAACATTTTTATTTTTATTTATTTTTAGGTACTGAGCATTGAACCCAGGGCCTTGTGCATGCTAAGCAAGTGCTCCAACAATGAGCTGTACTCTGGCCCACAGCCTATAAAATGTAGGCTTTATTCCTCCCATCCTTCTCTGTACGCCCAGGCCCAGCTTACAGTTCTGCAAATGACTTCTGAACACCCTGTTGTTAAAACTATTCCTAAGTGCCTTTCTTTGTGTTCATTAGGAGCAGGAAACAGGTAGACTCAGCGTATCAAGCACTGGTTGCCTGACACTGTGTGGCAGACAGTGTGTGGACTCAACTGCTACGAAGACAAGAGCCTGAGCCCACAGGGCTTCCTCCTGTCATGCCACCCTGTGCCCACCCTTCCTCGTCTCCCGTCTGTTTTCCCCTTTGGCCTTGTTTTCCAGTTGTCTTTGTTACTACCCATTACGCTCTTCCTACTCTCAGTGGTGACCGAAGATGCTGTAAATGGTACTGTAAATACATTCCTGGTCCAGACAGCATGTCCCAAAGCGTAGCAAGCAGCTGCCCCATCTCAGGCTGTTGTTTTCACAAGCCACTGCTCTCATGAATCCCTCAGAAATGTGACCATCGGGTGTCTGTCCTAGCACAGAGGAGCTTCTGTACTGTAGACCACCTTTTCTTCACACTGTCCAAGTCAGTCCCCTAATGTTTGTGTTTTCCTTCTTGGCTCATAAGCATGTCTGACTCAGCAGCTGCTGACATCTGTATCCTGCAGGAAGGAGCGCCTGTCCCTAAACAGTCCGTTGTCTTGTTCTATCCTCATGAAACCCAGCTTCTAGAATCTTGTTTCTATTTTTCATGTAACTTTTTGTGTTGACAATACCTAAGACATTGAGTGGGAAGTAAATTCTCCGGGAGTTGCATCAACTCTAGGCCCTTTCCAGACTCCTGTTCTAGAGCCACGTGAGGTCATTGGTGTCCTTGTGTGGTTGTGGATGTGAAGATGTGGCTCTGAAGAAGGTAGAGCAAGGTCATGTTCTAGAATTCTCCTTAGTTATAAATCAGCAGAGGTGGTACTTTATTTCAATGAAACCTCAAATGAAACCTTTCTCAATAAGAAAGCCTCACTTTCTCTGAAGAGCCCATTTTCCTATTTCCTTGCTGATGTTTTCTGTTTTCAAAATTAGTTTTAGTTGACTAAAATTTAATTTAGTTGGTACCTGAGGCCTGAAGTCAATTCCTTTGGTGCAGTGACTGTCTGCTCAGAGCCCTCCTTTACCTCCCCATGTGAATCACCAAGTCACCTCTTCCATCTGCTTTTCACATCTGCCCCATCTGTCTTATTTCTAACATGGTTTGTTAACCCTCAGCTGGACTGTACATGGCCACCCCTACCGTATGTAGGGCCCAACCTAGAATATAAATGGAAGTCCCTGACTGAAGATCCGTCCTTCCCTTTCTCACACTCCCGGGGTTTTTCTTATGTACATAAATGGACAACATGGCCTGTGTGCCTGAAATATGTCCACTGTGCCCCTTGTCCGAACATCATAGTCATGTGGGTTGCAGGTGTATATGCCGGCAGTAGAGACCACCTCATGAATAGAGACCAGGGAAGGGACTCTGGAAGAGGTATTAGCACAAGAATTCTGGAGGCTGGTTCCTGGAGAATATTCTAGAATGGAGGAAGGGGTGTAGGACACTCTGTCTTTGAGCATATCCCCTCAGCCTTACAGACACCCCAGCTGGTGGGAGAGAGACATCGAAGTAGGGCCAGGGCACAGCCTTTGAAGTGTGAGGTCTGAGGAGGGAAGCTCAGATGACCGAGTCAGTCCTGATGGTGGTGGCCTGCTGTCTCCATTCTCCCACCCCGCTGAGGCTCTGTCCATAGATAGCATCAGAAGCACCAGTGTGTGGTGTCTCTTTCCTTCTTATGGCTGCTGAGTGCATTCATTACTTAAAGCTCCCAAACTCCCAAGTCCAGCGTTCAAAGCTAGTCATTGTCTGCGTACTTCTCCATGCTCTCATTTGGGCCTCAGAGTTTGTGCCATACCCATACAAGCTGCTTATGCTTTGCCATCTACGTCACACTTTTCTGTGCCTCCACATTGTTCCTTATGCTGCTGCTGCCACCTGCAATGTCCTTTGCCATATTTTCCTTGTGGAAGATTGCTTCTAGTCCTCACAGGAGAGTTTGAAGGCTGGCTAACATCCCTCCTGTCTCTTTCCTTACCATTTACACACTTCTGTGATAACCCTCCTGCTCTGGATTGCAGTCAGTCCCTTTGAATCTCTTTTCCCACTAGCTTTTAAACATGAGCACTTACTTATTCAGTGATGCATTTCTGTCTACGTGCAAAGTAATGTCTATTTAGTAGGTGCTCAGAATGTTTGGGCTGAACTAAGGGGTGGTATATATAATCATATATCATTTCTGTATATACTAGCCTGCTGTCTATCAGAATGTCTTGATCTAGCTTTGATTATTAGCCTAAAGTACTTTATAAATTTGCTAGTATTCTAAGTATGTAAGTACATTCAGTGTAATTTAATTTCATGTGTACATGTAATTATATACATAGCTTTCCTGCCTTAAAAGCACGCGTGGCTTTACAGAGTTTCAAATCACTGAACTTTTTATCAGGAAAATTACCAGGAAAAGAAGTCTTTTAGAATTTAACTAGAGCAGCTCTACTTGTGTTTGTTTTATAAATTCAGCCACACAGTAAGATTTATCTTGAATAAAAGCCTCTGTGAGTTAATATGTTTAAAAGTATTCGACCCTACAAGTGAAAGTGTAGTACTGATACTTCAGACTTTTTGCTGTATCCAGAAATGATCTATACTTATTTTTCAAGCATGGCCCATGAATTCTCACCCCCTCTCTTTGGCAGTATTTTCCCCATGGAATGAGAAGGGTGCTCTGTTCTCTGCTGTATCTCAGAAGAGTACAGCTGCGGTTCAAATTCAAGCCTCAGTTCCCACTTAAACACATGCTTTGTCCACAAAGTCCTGTAGCGTTTACTATTTGCTAGCGACAGTTTGCTGTGTAACATGCACAACTTATTATAATTCTTGTTTTATGCACATGTTTTAAATCTTATTTCTGTAAATTGGCCTCTAGGTTACCATTCATGACAAATAGCATTTCCATTCAAAGCCCCAAATATGCCACCCTTACTTAACAGGCATTTGTAAGCATCCCTCCTTGATAATGCTACAGGGAGAAAAATGGTAGATTTTGAATTTTTAAAAAATCGGTAACTTGTTTTAATCTTATCTGTTTGTAAATATACCCCACCAGTTTATTTATTTAAAGGATATTGTAATTCTCTTTAAGAAATTTTGTGTCCAGAACCACCAAAAATCCAGAACGGACGGATTATAAATGAAGAGGACACTTACAGCTATAGACAGGTTGTAACATATGAGTGTGACAGAGGATTCACCCTGACTGGAGAAAAGAACCTTTATTGTACTGTGATGGATGACACAGGGGAATGGAGCGGCCCAGCACCTACCTGCAGAGGTAACCAGCTTGCATAGTATGTTTTTGCTTTCTTGTTACCCTTAGGTCTATATGTGAACTGTAGTGAGTCTGAATTCTCTGAGAAAGGAATGGAAAATATGGTATATGTGTATATTTGCATTTTTCTGTGGGGCACAGTTTTTCATCAGATTCTCAGATTCTCTGCATACATGCAAAAACACTATAAAATATAGTAAAAGTTTGGATACATTTAAGACTTGTTAAACTGTTCTAACGTGTTAAGAAGGAGGAGAGAGAAAAAGAAGGAAGAATTCGAGGAATGGGGGAGGAAGAGGACGGAAAAAGAGAGGGAAGGAGGAGGAGAAGGAAATACCTAAAAAGATAATGACTGAGAATTTTTCAGAACTGCTGAAATACATCAGGCAGTAGATTCAGAAAGTTCTCTGGACTCTAAGCAGGGCTGAAAACAAAGCTTCAAGATACATCAAAGCAAAAGAGAGTTTGGGAACTCAAAGCAATGATAAAAATACACAGAGTGAAAACAGAATAAAACAAAACAAGCCTTCATAAAAGCAGCAGATCTTATCGCTTGACTTTTCAATGGAAAGTTGCATTAGCCAAAAGACAATATGAAGAAACCTTTAAAATACTTAAGGAAATTACTACTTACCTAAAATTCTATGCCCAATGAGCTATCCTTCTAAAAAGAATATTAAATAAAGATGTAGACAGACAAAAAACTGAAGGAACTTGTCATCAACGGACGTCAGCCTTATCAAAAACTGAAGGAAATTTTTCAAATAGAATGAAAATACTTTAATCCTATCTTCACAAATGAAAATGAAAGAACTGTAGAGAACACATACGCCAGGGCTAATGCATACTGACTTTACAAAGCAATAAAATGCCATGTCTTCTGGAGTTTGAATTATATACAGAATAAAAACATATAACAGCAATAAAGCAAAAGCGCATGACAGATTACAGTGTGTTAGCATTACTGAAAAAGTGGTAAAAGTGATAATTTGCGTAATTTACTTACTGTGCGGTGGTGGCAAGCCTTTTAGAGACCGAGTGGCCAAGCTGCCATCCAGAAACCCACTCACTCACTGCAAAGTGCCAACACTGCAGTTAAACCTGGGTGATTTGGCTTCTGTGCTGACAGAGGCTGCGGTGTGCCAGCTGTGGCATGTGTGCGGTAGGGTTGCCACCACTGGTCTAATCTCCAAACTACTGTAACCTCTGAGACTGCCACCGAAGAACAGTAAAAGAATGTATGTACCAAAGGCTAACAAAAGAATGATGGTCTTTAATCGTAAAGGGAACCAAAGAGGCAGAGAAACAGAAAGAAACAAAACAGGTGGGATTGAAAACGAGCAATGAAGTGGCTGATATAAACTCATGTGGAACAGTAATTACATCAAGTGTAATTTAACTTAAGGTTGTCAGACTAGATTTGAAAAGAAACCCTAATTATTGTGGCAATAAACACAGTTGAATAACATAAAATTGTTGAAAGTAAAGAATAGAAAAGTAAACTGTGCAAACACCCCTGAAAAAATTGTGCTACTATAGTATTGTCAGTATTTATTTAAGATAAGACAATTGATAACTAAAGGATCCGCTCAGAAAATCTGAAATTCACAATCTGAAATCTGTACACACTTGAAAAAATATATGTAGAGGGAATGGACAGAAAGAAAAATGGGCAAACACACACAGTTGGAGAATTCCATATAAATTTTCAATAATAGAAAAAGGAGTAAAAAGTCATTAAAACTGTAGATCTGATCAACAATTAAGGTCAAACTTACATAGAAGAGTATTAAACCCCATAATGACACATGAGCAAATTTTTTCAGGTGTACGTGGACAGTTACCAAAATTGAACATATGCTGAGCTCCGAATCACTCTGCATTTGAGAAGACTGACGTTATTAGAGCCTACTGTGACCACAGTGGAGTTAAACTGTACCTCAATAACAAAATATACTGGAAAACCAGTTCCCACGAGATTTAAACTCTGTGGTAGTGTACTTCATCTCTGGATCAAAAATAAGAACTAAATTGGTAGAATAAAGAAGAATTCTTACATAAGAGACCTTTAACATGAAAATTTCTTATATAAACTTCACTTACCCCAATAATATGTATTACTGAGTACCTGCTAAACACTGTTACCTATTAGGTATCCTACTTATCCCGTATAGCACCCTGTGACATAGGTAAAGGAAACAAACAGAAAAGAAAGATGCGTGCCATCTGCACATCTGGAATGTAGTGTGTGTGCTGGGGCTGGCAGTAGTAGTGCTGGCTGATGTAAGCTGTGTGTCAGGCACAGGCATTGTGTGAAGTAATATACCAAGTATTTCCCTTCATTTTTACAGTGTCATGCAATTTGTAGAGTCTCTTGTTCTACACTTTTTTAAATTTATTTTTAACTGACACAATAATTGGACAAATATATGACATATAATGAGATATTTTAATACATAGATACGTATGTTGTGTAAGATCATTTACATCAGTCTGCTGTGTTTTTATTGTTTTACAGATGAGAAAAGCAAAGCTTAGCAAGGTTAGAGAATTTGCCAAAGATCCTTAGCCTGAGGGAAAGCCAGGCATCAGTACTACCTCCTACTGGCCTCTGGAGGTGTTTGGACAAGCAGCCCTGAGGCAAGCAGGGTCTGAAGACTGTGGTGTTAGATTTAGGATTCTCGGAATAAGTTTTTTCAAATCTTACTCAGAAATTGAAAGAGGAGCTTAAATGAGTGTGTATAAAGTTGATAATAAGAGCAAGAAGACAAAGGAACTTATGTTCCCTCAGATTGGCATTACATTAAAAAATTAAACAGTTTTCCTCAGTAAGATGGACAAAGAGCACTGGACAAACGCTACTGTGCTGTGACTCTGCATTGCCCAGTGATGGCATCCCGTTGCTCTTTGGTCTTGACCATAGTGAAGGAAGACATTTTTGGAGAGCAAGTAAAGTTGTGCTGCAGACTCAAGCACTGCTGACTCCAGCTTTGCTTTCCTTTTTTCACACAGAAAAGAGGTTACGGATCTCAGCTTTCTGTTGGGTTAAATCTACTGCAGATATAATTAATATCAAGGCAAAAATTAGTAGCATTTCAACTCCGTGGGAAATACATATTGAGACTTGGTTTCCTAAAAATCTTGTCGAAGTTTTTATGGCGAGACAAAGAATAGCCACAGAGCAAGCAATGGCTGAGAAAACTTAACTTTGTTCAGCAATATAGAGCTCATTTTTTTCTCTAACATTTGTCATCCACAGGAAAATCTTCATATCCCTCGCGCCCAACACTGAAGCCACATACCACAAATACACCAGGTACAGAAGTCTCTCTATCATCTCAAAAACCCACCACAGTAAATGTTCCAGGTATGGAAGTCCCATCAACTCCTCAGAAAACCACCACAGTAAATGTTCCAGGTATGGAAGTCCCAACAACTCAGAAAAGTACCACAGTAAATGTTCCAACAACGAGAGTCCAGCCAACACCTCAGAAACCCA